ATCGTCTCCCCTAGAACAACTCAACACAGAGCATCAATCCCCCAAAATAACTCAATATAGAGCGTTTTTCCCCCAAAATAACTCAACACAGAGCATCAATCCACCAAAATAACTCAACTTAAAGCTTCCTTCTCCAAAAGTAACTCAATACATGGCGTCCTCTCTCCTGAAATAACTCAACACAGAGCATTGATCCCCCCCAAAAAACTCAATACAGAGCATATTCCTCCCAAAAAACTCAACACAGAGCATTTTTCCCCCAAAATAACTCAACACAAAGCATCAATCCCCCAAAACAACTCAACACAGAGCATCAATCCCCCAAAATAACTCAATATAGAGCGTTTTTCCCCCAAAATAACACAGAGCATCAATCCCCCAAAATAACTCAACACAGAGCATATTCCTCCCAAAAAACTCAACGCAGAGCATCTTTCCCCCAAAACAACTCAACACAAAGCATCAATCCCCCAAAACAACTCAACACAGAGCATCAATCCCCCAAAATAACTCAATAGAGAGCGTTTTTACCTCAAAATAACTCAACTTAAAGCTTTCTTCTCCAAAAATAACTCAATACACGGCGTCCTCTCTCCTGAAATAACTCAGCACAGAGCACTGATCCCCCCAAAATAACTCAACGTAGAGCATATTCCTCCCAAAAAACTCAATACAGAGCATCAATCCCCCAAAATAACTCAATATAGAGCGTTTTTCCTCCAAAATAACACAGAGCATCAATCCCCCAAAATAACTCAACGCAGAGCATATTCCTCCCAAAAAACTCAACGCAGAGCATCTTTCCCCAAAACAACTCAACACACAGCATCCTCTCCCCAAGAACAACTCAACAGAGAGCATCAATCCCCCCAAACAACTCAACACAGAGCATCAATCCCCCAAAATAACTCAATATCGAGCGTTTTTCCCCCAAAACAACTCAACTTAAAGCTTCCTTCTCCAAAAATAACTCAATACACGGCGTCCTCTCTCCTGAAATAACTCAACACAGAGCACATTCCTCCCAAAAAACTCAACACAAAGCATCGTTCCCCAAAATAACTCAATATAGAGCGTTTTTGCCCCAAAATAACTCAACACAGAGCATCAATCCCCCAAAATAACTCAACTTAGAGCATATTCCTCCCAAAAAACTCAACACAAAGCATCGTTCCCCAAAATAACTCAACTTAGAGCGTTTTTCCCCCAAAATAACACAATATCTTTCCCCCAAATAACTCAACATTGAACATCAGTCCCCCAGAATAACTCAACGTAGAGCATATTCCTCCCAAAAAACTCAACGCTGAGCATCTTTCCCCAAAACAACTCAACACACAGCATCCTCTCCCCCAAAACAACTCAACGCAGGGCATTTTTCCCCAAAACAACTCAACGCAGGGCATTTTTCCCCCAAAACAACTCAACATAGGGCATCTGTCCCCCCAAAAAACTCAACGTAGAGCATCAATCCCCCAAAATAACTGAACTTAGAGCATCTTTCCCCCCAGAATAACTCAACACAGCCCATCCTCGCCCCAGAAGAAGGCACCCACCTGAAGGAGAAGGCCTCGGGCAGGAGGTAGACGCCGTCACCGACGCGGTACTGCACCCCGTTCTTGGTGGCCATGGCGTAGAACATCTTCCCATCACCTTCCTCCAGGGGTTCGGCCACTTTGGGGATCTCTTTGTGCCTCACCTCGTCCAGCCGGGCACAGCTCATGCAGAACCTGCCGGAAAAAGACAGGGAGAGGAGAGAGGAATGGAGGGGTGTTGGGAAAGGAGAAAAGGATGGGTGGGCTGTGGGGAGAAGGAATGGAGAATTTTTTGGGGAAAGGAGAAGGAATGGATGGGTTGGGGGGAAAGGAGAAAGGATTTGGGGGGAAAGGAGAAAGGAAATGGAAGGTTTGGGGGTAAAGGAGAAATGAATGCATGGTTTATATGGGAAAAAGGGAGGATTTGTAGGGAAAGGAAAAAGGAAGGGATGGATTCGGGGGAGAGAGGAATGGATGGTTTGTGGGGAAAGGAGAAAGGAAGGGATGGACTGGGGGGAAAGAAGGGAGGGATGGATGGTTGATAGGGAAAGGAGGAAGGAAGGGATGGTTTTGAGGGGAAGGGGCAAAGGAATGGATGGTTTGGGGGTAAAGCAGGAAGAAATGGATGGTTTATAGGGAAAGGAGAAGAGATGTGTGGGAAATGGGGAAAAAAATGGATGTTTTGTGGGGAAAGGAGAAAGGAAGGGATGGATTCGGCGGAGAGAGGAATGGATGGTTTGTGGGGAAAGGAGAAAGGAAGGGATGGACTGGGGGGAAAGAAGGGAGGGATGGATGGTTGATAGGGAAAGGAGAAGGGATTTGTGGGGAAAGGAGAAAGGAAGGGATGTTGCGTGGGGAAAAGAAAAAGGATTTATGGACAAATGGAGAAAGGAGCGGACGATCCGCGCGGAGAGGAGAAAAAAACGGCTGGTTTATGGGGAAAGGAGAGAGAAATGGCCGTTCTGTGGGGAAAAGAGAAAGAATTCGTGGGGGAAGGAGAAAGGAAGGGACGGAAGGTGGGGGAAGGACCCCCGCACCCACTTGTACTTGTTGTCCTCCGTTGGCCGAACTCGGGGCGGCGTCTCGAAGCGCGCGTACTCCTGGTCGTACCACATCTGGTAGAAGTACGTCCTCCCGTCGTCCTCCACCATCTTGATCTCCATGTCCAACCCACCCTGCTGGGACACAGCCGACCCGTGGAGGGGCCGCCGCCGCCGCCCCCCAACCCGCGGGGCAGCGGGGTTCTGCCCAACCTCCATGGCCCAGTTCTCCGATGGCGGTTTGTAGACGACGGTGACTTTGCCGTGGATGTAGGACAGCTGCATGTCCTCGCATTCGTCCACCAAGAAAAGCTCCAGAGGATCCGAGGTGGCCCCCAGGACGGTGTCGGAACCGGGGCAGAACCAATGGGCGTGGAACATCTGCCCGCTGCTGTCCTCCCACATGGCTGTCACCCTACGGGGACAGGGCTGCGGTTATGGGGCGGCGGGGGGAAGGGG